CCCCGCAGGACCAGGAGGCCGATCCAAGAGGCTTGATGATGTCACTGTTTTGACGTAAACACGAGTGTAGATTACGGCGCCTCCACTAGAGGCGCTGTAGAGAAGACACTCGGACAAAAACACCCAGGTTTGGGAGAAAACGAGAGAGCAGAGTTGCACCGATTGTAATTTTTGCGCTGATTCTGATTTCTGATCGCTTCCTCAGTACATTGCAGATTTTTTTTAATCCGTTCTGTGGAGGTTTCACTACATCGCAGTATTTTACAGTAAATATTTTTTAAATTTCCAATATTTTCATTATTTTCATGATAAAAACATTTTCTAACCTAAGAAAAATTAAACAGTAATAACATTTTCTAACCTAAGAAAAATTAAACCGTAATAAAAATAAACTAAAAGACATTGCTGGTAGCTTTGTTTACCTAGAGGAGATCGAACACAGCTTTGTGGATTTCCCTCTTTCGCAGTGGAACGCAACTACCGCGTAGGAGAGGGATCACTGTACTGAGATAATGCAAACCTTGACCTTTTCAACTAATTCACCCGGTGGCTAACCAGGATAATAAATAAATAGTTAGCTAGCCAGCTAATAAATGCCTACACGTGCAGGGCCAAAGGGCTATTTTTTGAGAATTCACAGCATTTTTTTCCTTTTATGACGAATAATCTCAGTTTTGTCACCTGCACTGCAGAGACGAGAACAAACCCGCTGGCTCGTTGCCAATGACAACCAATAAAAAGCAGAACACAGACTCCCACTGAGTCGACCCCGCAGTTCTAAATGTGGACAATGCACTGCAAGAGCCATCAGGCGGCGCCGTGATAAAGGTCACACCTTCACGGTGGACGGCTGAAGGATATAGAGAGACCAGCTTTTCCAGGAGGTCACTGGAGGAGATGAGGAGACGGTGCATGGTCAGGGTGATGTTCAACAGGTGGCTGCTCCCACACACACCACCGTCAGAGTCTGCAAGACAAAAGGTGTGACGTCATCACAACATGCCGTCCCTTTAGAAACAGGTTTTAATATGGCGACACCCTCAGTTGGAATTATTTTTTTCTACCTAACTTTAGTTGTTATAACAACAAGATTTTTTTATTTCATTCCATATTTACCAATTTATATATATTTACTCATTTAGAAATACATCTTTTAGTTAAAAAGAAAAATAGATGACCAGCAATGTAGACTGCAGCCCAACTCCTCGTAAAATAAATGTGGGCTGATCCACAAGAAAAACTTCCGATCTCGTTTTCTTAAACACAGCGTCGTTAGTAGAGACTCCTACAGTTTACAACGTTTTTCACTGTATCACTGTATCACTCGTTCCTTGTACATTATTTAAATTCATGTGTGTAGGTTTGCATAAGCAGATGTTGCCGCCCGACTCCAACCCTGCAGCGTGCAGCGGATGCAAATCACCTTGACTCAGTGGCGTCTGAAACCTTCATTTGTAACTTACAGTTTTGTTTTGCGTATTTTTGACCACAGAGAAGTTTTCTAATCTCAAATGTGCACGTTAGTAATAAAAAAAAACAAAAAAGCGGCCACCTATCAGAAGATGTCAATTGTATTAAAATTTAAATCTGGAAAAGGGAAACTATGGCCACGTCGTCGTCTTTGAGCTGCTCCCTTCAGGTGTTGTCATGATGAGTAATCGCACACTAATCCTTTCCTCCACCTTCACTACATCCTCCTCTTCCCCACCTGGCTGGCAGCTCCATGTCCACTGCTGCTATGATTTGTCCAATGGAGTTTGTGGTAAATTCCTGATAAAAACTGTCAGTATCTTTGCTGCCACCTCCAGTAAAGCTAAGGTGCGCAAACAAATAATGGTACAGGATGTTTTCGTTGGAAACTGCCAAAAAACAAGAATTCAGATTCCCAAATATAAAATATGTTTTAATGTATATGTTGATATATTGAAAAGCTCTCGTCAGTTATTTAATGAGTAGTTAAAGATTAGTATAAATAAGGAGTAATACTTGAGTTATTAACATACTGGTCATATACTAGATCAGTTACCCAAACACTGTCCTTAGTTTGCCATGAGAGACCATCAGGTGCACCGTAGAACAGGGGTCCTCAACCCCCGGTCTGTGAACCATCAGGTGCACCGTAGAACAGGGGTTCTCAACCCCCGGCCTGTGAACTGGTACCAGTCCGTGGGTCATTTGGTTCTGGGCCGCAGTAGAATAATTCACTCCATTTAAAGATATCTGGTAAGTTTTCAAAAATGTCACAGCTTTCAGGCACTAATACTAACAGAATATCTGATCTTTAAAAATCCTACGATAAACCCACTGCTACCTGTCCGTGGAACTGGCTGGTGCTAGGCAACCAGTCCTCAGAACAAAAAAAAACGTTGGTGACCGCTGCCCGTGAAATTGCAATTTATTTACTGCAAATAATTTGGCTTTGTTCCATGCGACAGTGACAGGCAGGGCAATACCATGCTTCTCCTCAAGGTGGCAGCAGATGGTTATAAAAACTAAAAAAAAAAAAGATGAAATATATTGTTTCTCTTTCTTTAAGTATCTCAGCCTTGTGTAAATTGCGAGTGAATTGAAAGGAGGAGATAATATTTCATGACGCTTTACGCTGTGAGCTTTCCTTCTGTTGTATACGTGTCATGGCTCAGACCCATCGCTACCTTCAACCACCAGTTTGCAGATTGTGGTGTTATCTCCGCAAATGTTGTTACAAAGCTCAATAAAACCCCAGCTAAACTTGTTAAATCAAGTGTAACAATGACTCATGAGCCACACATAAATATTTGTCTTGTTCACTGATCCTGGGAACCTTTGCAGCAGTTTTGTCTCACTGTCTTTTTCACTTCCTTTCTCCTAAAAATAATCTTAGTTCCTTTCTTTTGACTTGTTTATTTTAATCTATCTGAGTGACTTAAACTTAACTTGAACTAATGAACCGAGGTGTGTGGTCTTTGTGCTGATCTTTCAACCAGATTATCTCTAAGGAAGTCAGTCATAAACATGATTGTTGTTTTCCAGTCAACACTGTATTATTTCTTTCACTGTCACATCTGTCATTATCGCCGATTCAATTGTGTAGCTTAAAAAAAACCCACCAAAATGTGGATAAAAAAAAACTGCTGAAAATCATTGAGAGCAAAACCACAAGTCTGTGTCAGAAAATAGTTTCCCTTTAGTCATAAGAGATTTTTAATACTGTCACAAATACACATAAATTCTTCTGCTACCACTTTTTAGAGTCAATACTCGGAGCCAATGACTATGGTTTTGTAATCTTATTTACATTATCATTTGCATATCTTATTTTTATTTATATAAAAATCTATATTCATACATAATTAGCGTCACGCAGCTAAAAAAATTCTGAAATGTATTTTGGTATTGATTTGCAATGCAAATAGTGTGTGTGTGGCCCAGAGCCAACGTCTCTGTCATTGGTGTGGAACCCCAGGGTTCACCTCCGGGAGGTGGGCGGTGTGAGTTGGGTGGTGGTCGTGGAGACTGCTGCCCCCGCGACCCGGTAACGGATAAGTGGATGAAAATGGATGGATGCAAATAGTGTCATGAGGAAATGGAATTTGGCAAAAGAAGTTACACATATTTGGGAAAAAGTGGCGTTGCATCGGTTCGTTCTTTGGCTCCATTCTAGTGACAACCATCGCACATGCACACATTGTGCAGTAACGTAACTTTGTGTTGGTCATTGAACATGAACAATGATTTTATAGTTTATACAAACTGCACAGACTATATATATATATGGTGTATATATAAATATTTATTTATATATATGTATATATATATACATATATAGTGCTAAAATAACCAGGTAAATTTATATTTATATATAGTCTGTATGTATATTTATATATATATATATATATATACATACAGAATATATAATTATATATAGTGTATATATAAAGTATATACAGTATATATTAATTAACCTATGTTTTTTTTAATTGGTAAATAAGTCTGTTCCTGGTTATGTAACCTCATGCTAATTAGTCCATTGTCCATAGTTCTATGAAAATAAATAAAAGTGTACTGTATTGACCCCATATTTGGGAAATCCTGGTGTTAGCAGCAGATAGGCTGTTATCAGGCTGCCCCTAGCAAGCGCCGAGCATGTGGTTCCTCTGGGAATCGCATCACTTGCACCAAAAGGTCGTGCAGTTTTTGTCTTTAATATATTTTTAATAGTCAGACAAACTAAAAAACCCCTTCAGCCCAGACAACACGCTGGACGTTTTAAATGTTTAAATCTTAAAAGCTTTACCAAAAAAAAAAAAAAAAAAAACCCTCAATATTTAAGATGTTTAACAATTGCTACACAGTGCAGCTAAACTGCAGGACAACATGTGAGTTGCTGCTGAATAGCACTTTAGGCTTTTCAGCAGCTTCTCTTCACCATCAAGGACACCAAGCTGTCTGAGGACCCAATTTTAAACCACATCACCTTGGAAATACCTCAGACGCCATGGCAACATGTTTTCTAATCTTTGTTTTCTGTAAGCAACTAAAAACTCCAGCCCCTGCTGACTAATCCTGCCCTCATATCCTGCACGGGTGTGTTTCTGTTTGTCACGCTCAGCCACTGGCAGCTGAATTCCACGTCAATGTGAATCTGACAAACAGTTGAACCTTTAATGCTAAATTTCGGAGACGCTACGTTTAAGATCTTTTTATATATATATATATATACATATATATATATATTTATGTATATATATATAAAATGTGTGATTTTGAAATCAATTATTAAGAGAGAATCAGCAAAAGTCACAACTGTGGAAAATAAACAGCAGGAAGTAACAACTCCTCGTTACATAAACAATTGCTCCATCCTTTTTTTCACAACTTTCCAACCGCTCACCCTCCCAGGGTTAATTGCTGCAGGAAAATCCCATCTGGAGGGCTGCCCGCTAGAACGGGAACACTGTACGACACTGTAAGGCAACAAAGAGCCGCGGGCACGGAGCAGCGGCTGGCCGACTCCTCGGGTTATCGCAGGCATTTATCAGCCGCGTGCACATGTGCACACTGGCCCATGTTTCCTTCTGGCTGCGCCGGGCCTTTGTTTTAGGGGAATCAAAGTTAGCTGCAGGATGTTGTTATCTCACAGGGCCAAGTGTAGCTGTAAGGTTAGCACTGTTTACATTCACAGTTTGGGGCAGGAGCCACTGCAGCCATTGTGATAGTATTTAAACAACGATATCATGGACGTACGACAGTCCACTGGAGGTGGACGTAGATCCTCCAAACTGTGTCTCCTGTGACATAGAGCAGTGGTGCCCAAAGTTTTTTTTGTACCAAGGAACCGTCGGCCATTACTGCGGACTGGTAGCACAGTGCCAATCATTGAATGATCATTACATTTTCAAAACAAAACATTTTTTTGACTTTATTCTGATATAGTATCGGAGAATGTCATTGTTTTGAAATATTGCCAGATTGTGACATTTATTATTTTTTAGGGTGTCCTGGTACCAAATGACTACAGACCGTTACTGGTCCACGGACCGGGGGTTGAAGCGATGACATAGAGAACAAATAATTTGCTAAATAGAAGCGGAAGGTGTAGCTTGAAATGTAACTTTGAAATATCAACACTTAATGTCTGTTTCCTTTGAAATGTTCAACAAAAACTCTATGTATTGATTCTACAGGTCAATTAGAACTTAGTTAATTAAATAACAAGACTTGTGTGCTATCACAGATTCACAAAGGTAGTAAAATTATGAGTCTTTATTTTTCCTAGACTTTCTTCATTATTTCTCAATTTTAATGATGATTTATGTCTTAAAAAAATGAAGAAGAAGAAGAAAAGTCTCTCGGCTAAACCCTTCACTAGGGGTCGCCGCTGTAGTAGTTCATCATTCAGCTCATTCAGATCTTTTTTTTGCCTGATTTCTGATGTAGCACACCACGGGATGTGGGGTCCACGTGTTACCGACCCAAGAATCTTCCCCATGGGCGGCAGAAATATGTTGTGTAGCTGCAGTTTCCGATTCACTTGCTGAATTATCGTAAACAAATCTATCAAAACTCCTAAACTATAAAAGAGGAATTAAATGCCAAATGGATAAAGACAACGTTTGGCACAAACCGAACAAACAGTTCGCCCAGTGCACTGTGGACCGCAGGGAGTGATGATGTCAACAGCTATTGATCCACACCTCATAGTGGTCTGCAATTCAAAGGCCGGCCACCATCTGAGGACCACTGTACGGGAGCTGACCTTTCAGCTCAACCAGGTAATCCTTCAAATAGGTCTTACGCGCACGCTCACATTTGAAAAGGTGGCAGGACCCCAAGACCTCGGGGGGGCTCGTCTGTGATGTTGGACAAGAGGAGCGAGACCGAGCTTCGTTCTCACGGCAACGAGAGAAAATCTCTGGTCCTGACACTGCGCCGTGGTCTGACGCGTTGAGCCGCTCACAGCGACGGCAGCTCTGATACTGTGTTTCTGAGTTTCTCCACTTTACGTCCCTGAATCTTTCCTCCTCTGACTCATGAAAGAGCGGAGGGCTGTGAAAACCGCTGTACTTTTCCACAGATGAAATGGAGTTATGGGATGTCATTTCATGTGCAGTCCATTGTACCACCTCTCCAACGCTCTTGCTCCATTTGTGTAACCAGGCAACTGCGATTTTAAGGTTTCTCTTGTCAGATACACAATCACCATAACTCTGAGAGCACTCCAGACAACTTGATGAAGCAAATGATCTGCGCCTGATTGATACATCTCCAGCCCACTCTATCACTGCAGTGCTTTTTTTGTTTGTTTTTTTGCACTTTTTCTAAAAATAAAATAATTATAAATCTTATAATCTTCAACCTTCTACTAGTTAAAAATGACTAATAATGCAGCCTTTGTTGCAGCAAAATGACCGTGAAAGAAGATGACAGGCGTCAACAAGGGACTCATCTTTGAAGCATCAGTTGCACAAACCCAAATGAGCTGTTTGTAACAAAATGTACTTGAATGCCTCCTCTGATTCAGGGGTCTGCCCAGACCTGACACAGTCTGCAGCAGTCAGAGCGTGTCAGTAAAGGTGTTCAGTAAAAACAAGCTGCAGCTGTTTTCGTGATCACTGATTTTTCTGTTACCATTACAATATCTTGCAGATTCAACTCTTCGGCCAGCAGGACTTACCAAAGCACTGCAGACAGGCCTGGATGAGCTCCTCCCAGCTCGCCCCCTTGGCTAGATGTCCCAGAGGCATCATGATCTTGGCTGGGGTGGTTTGGGTTTGGGTCGGGTTGGGTTTGTGAAATCTGTGTGGACGTCCCGGAGGAGAAACTCTACACTTCGAGGCGCATTTTGGAGTGGCACTCCTTAAAACAACAACAAAAAGAAGGGGTGGGGGGGGGGTTAATATACTGTAGATGGTGTGACCCTCTCAGTGCGCAGTATAATGAGGCTTATACTGCTTTAAACCATGCTCCTTCAGCATTAACACGACGTGATATATCACACATATGTAGCGGGTCTGTTCGATGTAAACGCTCGTTTAGAACGTACACCCCGAAACTCTGTATTTGCTTTTCATTGTTCTCGTTTCCTTCCTGTAACTTGGGGAAATGCCGGTTGATTACGGCGGACATCCAGTTTAGAACTTTTAAGTGAACAAGAAAGAATTCGCTTGAAGAAGTCAGCATATCAGAAAGAGTGAGCTTATCAGAAGAAGTGAGCATATCACAAAGTTGAACTTAAAAAGGTTTCTTTCTTTTTTTTTAACCCGTGGCGCTTTTGTGCGTAAAATCCGTGAAATGTAGCGACACCGTTTTACGCACATTTATTTGTGCTAAAACGAAGTTGTTTGTGGGTTTTACGCACATTTATTTGTGCTAAAAAGTTGTTTGTGCTATTTGTCGAGGTCACATCTGTAGTCGGTCGTTAAAACATATGTTACTGTCAAAATACACTCGACGCAAGTTGTCGCTGAAATCACATTTGAGAGTCCTTGGCAAAAACAGACGTGAGAAGATCTCGGGGACTTACGCGTCGTCCTTCCTCTTGTCGTCCGAAGACGCGCTTTCGTTGTGGATGTTTTCTTTGGATTGACATCCCATGGCGAGGTACTGGGCGACGAGCGGCTGAACTAAGCTGTCCATCTGTGTCCGTCTCGATGGGAGCATCTCATCCCTCTGCTCAGCTCCGTGTGCGCCCTCACCGGTGCGAGAACTGGTGCCGGGGTGCCGGTGGGCTTGGCCTTACACAGTCGTGCCGAGTGTGCGTGCGTGCGTGTGTGTGTGCGTAAAAAGTCTACCTGTTGCTACAGTGAGCGTCGGAAACGAAAGATAAAGATTCGAGGTCACAACGCTTGGCTTAACCAGATTTGTTGTCGGGGTAATAATGATATAAAGACACTTTGTAGGATGTCACGTTGCACAAAACAAGATTACAACAAGTGTAAGCCTTATGAAAATGCTCATCACTTTCATTTGCTCCTAATATGACGTGCAGTAATAATGTGATCACGTAACCATGTTGAAAAGAGTGAAATGAGTATTTTCGTTTGAGAAAGATGAAAACTAGATGACTGACATCTGATCGTTCGACTGTACAATCTGGTCTACAGTTCCGACGTTTAAATCAGATCAGAATCACTTCAGTTGTGGTTTCAGGTACCGTATAACTCTGTCAGGGCGACACGGTGAAACAGACCAGATTACAATCCCACATCGTACGCCATTATGATTGCATCTAAAGTTGTAATTGTAGCTACAGTTAGCCTGTACCTATTTTTAGGGACAAGGCTGTAAAGCAGTGTTTATAGTCAGCTGAAAAATGTTGTGGTGTTTATTGACAGATTGAAATTTGTCATCCAGATCAAACGAAGAATTAAGTAGTCACTGATTTATTTTTATTTTTTTAATTTTATTCCACCAGTACAGAAAAGTAAAAAAAAAAAAGAATGGAGGAAGACTAAGCACTGGCCCAAATATGACATCCATTTGGGCCAGTGTCATATGTATCTAGAACCACCTCTAGATACATATGACATTTGTATGGTAAATGTGGGCTTTTTTTTTTTTTTTTGCCTTAATTTGTCAGGTCCAGGTGAAAGTTATTACTTTTACTTAAAAGGTGTTTTACTTATGGTGGTTCCATAGTATGGCTGTTAACACACCTCTTTGAATCAGAGAGCAGAGAGTCCTGGGTTCGATTCCCAGAGGAACCACATGTTTGATAATGTTAATCCTCATCTGTAAGTCACTTCAGATAAATGCATCTGCTAAATGCATAAGTGTAAATGTAAAAGACTGAAGTACCAATGTTTTTTTTTGAAGGCACGTTTGAATTAATACAGATTCCTTAAAATGACCAATTTATCTTATGTGAAACACTATACTAAATATTTTGAAAGATGTTATGTCATAGAAAATGATTTTTTTTTTTTTGTTCTTTCCAAATAAAACACAATAAGGTATGTAGGCTTAGTGGTATCTAACAAGACAAAACCATGATGTTTTAGTGGTATTGTGTTAATGTATATAAATAACTACAGGTTCATCAACTACTATACTATAGTACAATATAATTTACGCAAACCGCAAGTCACTAGGGTTGGACAATGAGGGACAGTGTGATGTAATCCTCCCTTTTAAGTGTGCTAAATTTTTTGTTGTTTGTTTAAATCTGCAGACCAGGAAAGGGTGGCCCTTCCTCCAAAGATAGCAGAAGTTCAGTGTTTGTTGCACGAGGGATAAGACTGCAGTGTACCAGACTGTAGGTGGTCTGCTGAGGGTGATTCTTAGAGCCTTTTGTCTAACGTCAAGGATGCAGCTGATGTCTTATTACACTGCAGCAGGTGGAGGACTGTAGCCCTTGATAAAGTCCCTAAATTAACCAGAAAGTAATGTATGTTGTTTATGTTTTGATTTGTTGAATACACAAAAGACATAGCCAATATTTATTCAGGTGAATGTATTCAAGCAAAAACAAGTCTGTGAGGACACCTGACAAAGTGTTGTGGCATCTGTTCAATGGCATCTGTCATGGCCGACTGTTAATGTACAAATCTTTGTACTTTTTGATAAGATACCATGATGGCTCCTCTTTTTCTCAAACCAACAACAGCCTGTGTCAATGTTTTCTGCCACTGCCCCCATGTGGCAGAATTAGCTTCCTTTCTTTTGTGACAAAATGTCTGTTTGCTCTCTGCTCCAATAACAATGTGATGTGATATGCTGACTAAGGCAGCAAACATAAGAAGTTTTATGCATCAACAGTTAAAATCTTTGCACTTTAATTTAATTTCTTATTTTTAAAATTATATGAATAGCACATTGGAAATTACTTAAATTAATTTCAGATAAAAATGATACAAAAACAAACGAAGGGATTAACAGCAAAAATGTAAAATGCTGTTTACAATATAGAACATTTTGAGCAAGCACAACATTTCGATAATATATCAGATAGCCTAATATAACAAACATATATATTTGCTGAACACTCCTAACCTTCATACAGCCTCAAATGTTTCAAAAAGTTACAACTATTTTACTAGCAATGTTACGTTTAACCCGTCCTTGTCAGTGCCGGGGGTTTATTTACCAAGAATCTATACATTATAAACATTAAAGCTAAAACTTTATCTTTTTAAACATGGCGGAATTTTACGTAGCCTTTATGTCTTTTTTTTTCCCGGTCTCTCTCTACGCAATAGACTCGTGGGAAATTTGAATTATTTCAGTAAAATTGCACAATAACCGTTATTTGAATTTTTATTTGGCAAAACGGTATGACGAAATTAACTTTCTAACAACGAAAATCGAATTTTACTAAATTTTAGTATGTATTTAGTCATGGGGGAATCACAAAGTATAGAAAACAGTGCGTTCGTGAACACAACGCACGGACGTCACAACGCACCTTGTGCTGCTATAACGAGAAGCTAAATCAACTAGCTTAAATTTGCGTTATAAAGTAACACGGTTTTCTGGACTTCTCTTTAATCAGTTATTGTTGTAACTGTGGTTTGAAAATGGTGGTTGACGACGTCCACCTCATGAATATCCTGAAAGGAAAACGCATCAAACTGACCCTCAGGACTTCATCCTTCTTTGGTGACGTTCAACGAATAAATCCAAATAGATCGTTAGTTTTGAACGACGGTGAGAATTGTATAACCTTAAACTCATTTGTCGGCAATATGCGTAAATACTACAATGTTAATAAGTGAGTTATGTTAAAGTTAGTGTTTTTGTCTTTTAGTTGTTGATGCCAGTAATGGCTGCAAAATCCCAGGCTCGAAACTGTTCTTTGGCAACGAGATTATCAACGGTGAGTACGATAAAAACCACACAACCACTCAAACTACTCCTAGGGTTTTACCTCCATTTTAAATTTATTTTAAGTTTTAAAAAAAGCAGGCAAAATATATTGGCATATTGTTGTCATTTTTTTGTAAATTCAAATTCCAATAAAACCTACAACCTTTAGCTAACCTACATTACAGTAGGTTAGCTAAAGCATTATATTAAAATTCCTTAAATCATACTTTTTTTTAAAGGCTGTGTGTATAGATATAGATATATATGTATATATATTTATAAATCTATCAACTTATACTTACTTATACCTGTTTCTCAATAGAGTTTGATTTTTATTATTAACAATTCACAGTTGAATTCACAAGTGAATCAAACAATGACATAAGGTGAGTAAACATTCATCTTTTAGCCGTTGTGGTGGTGATGTTTCACGTTAGTCCGAATTAGCATTAGTTGTTTTGGTACAGAACTGTTCCAGACAGTTGTCCAGAAGTGGAAAGATTCAAGCCTTATATGAAGATGATCACAATCGGTAAGTGACTTCATATTCACACTTATGTTTTGTTGCTTTTGATTGCTTTTGTCAATAAAGATTGATAGATAGATAGATAGATAGATGTCAATGTACTGTAATACAATGGTATACAACAAGAGCTAGGCTATAATTACATATACATATTTACAGATGATGATGATGATGAGGGAGAGCGCGTCAACATTGTTGTCATCGACGAGTTTCATGAGAAGTTTGCGCCAGCTGTAAGCACAATATCTTGAGTCACTCATACTTTGGTGATTTGCTTTAAGCTTAAAAAATATTCCCTTTGTTTGGAAACTTTTAACTTTTTGTAGTTGACCAATTTTATAGCATTTGTCAAAATATAAGAAAGGACTAAACAACATCAATTCAATACCCTGTAGGTAATGCACATCAAGAAGCAACATGTGATCGGTGTAGGAGCCAGTGGAGTGGAGTTGTTCAGACATGGAAGACTATGTTGGCTCCAGGTAAGAAGTAATCTGCTGTACTTTGGTCTTTGTCACTTTACTGTTGCTTTCTGAAGTTCTTGTCTGTTGGTTTTGAATACTGTCATTTGTTGCCATTGTTTGTTTCTGCAGTAAATATTTGACTAATGGAAAATTGGTTGTTATTTATAGATTGCTACTAAAAACAAAGTGTATTTGTTTGACATCCTACTGCTTGGAGCGCAGGCCTTTAAAAACGGTCTCTCTGCTATTCTGGAGTGTAAGGACATTTTAAAAGTAGGTCATTAACGGAACACATAAACTTAACTAAAGTGAAATTTATATTTCTAACATATTAAATAAACTCTGCAGGTGATACATGATTGCCGAGCCATTGCTGGATGTCTGTCTGTACAGTTTGGACTAAAGATGAATAATGTGTTTGATACACAGGTAAATAGATGACTCTGCAAACAAATGGGGTGGAATGGAACCGTTTTTATTTGTATTTTCCCCCCGCTTGTATTCATTTAATGTTTTTTTCGTGTCTCAAGGTTGCGGATGTCATGTGCTTCCACTCAGAGACAGGTGGGTTTCTTCCTGACAGAGTGTCCACTCTGCAGGAAGTGATCAGTCTCCACCTGAAGGTGCCGTCCTCCAAGCTACGATCCCTCGAGAGACAGTCTCAGTCCACTGAGGTGCAACACACGGACATGTGGACACTCCAGCATATTGAATTGGAGTTTTCTCTACTTGTGACACTTATGTTTTCTTACAGGAGGAAAAGGAGATGTGGTTCATACGTCCCTGTCCTGTTACCCTGATGAAGGCGATGGCCCTGGCAGTGGTCCATTTGCAGCCCCTCAGACTGGTGCTGATGGATACACTAATGGTGGATTACATGACCCTGGTGGATTCATACATTAACAGCAGCCAATATGAACCTGATGAATTGCAACACGTGGGCAAGGTGAGTCAAAAGTTAGCAATACACTATGCACTTTTTCACACTAGTTGTGTGGAACAGTTAAGATTTAGAATCTGATTAATCACATGGATTAATCATGATTAGTTAGGGTTAATCACAATTGTTTATAATTAATGGAGACAAATGAACAGTCAATATTAAACAAAATCTTTAATGTATATATATATATATATTTCTAGAACAGAAAGGCAACTATTTGAAATACAGTTCACATCATTCTGCAAACATGAAAATATATTACAATTTTAAGATGATTAATTTCACAAATTAAATTTAAGTTAATTTAAAAGGCTACCCATATTAAAAAGTTAGGTGACCTATATTTTTAAGGATACATTATGTAATCTGGTTTCACTACAGGATGTGTTGGCAATGCCTAGAGAGCTTATGAAACTGCAGCAAATGTATCAAGAGCGAAATCAGTGGGCCACAAAACACTACCCCGTCACAGAGCCTGGTCTGCTGGCTCGCTTTGAGCCCCGAACCACTCCTCCATCAAAACCTTCACCTGAACTTCAAGCGGAAAGTTCTACTCAAAGTGAATCTTTCAAACCTCCATCTGTACCACAAGAAGTTACCCCTTCAAGAATTACGAGTCATTGCACGCCTCAAATACGTAAAGCCACCACAGTGTCCGCAAAAGAAAACCGCTCAGTTCCATTTCCTGAAGGTGTGGGGTCCACAGAGGCACTGATGAACACAATAGGTAGAGGAAAGCCTGTTGGAAAAGAGCAGTCATCTACATATAACTTAACTCCAAAGGGAAGAGGCTTTTTCTTCCAGGAGCCACCAGTTCAAATCCCAGAAGAAAACACAGGGACCATAAACCGTCCTGGCAGGATGGAGATGACATCTTTATGCCCTGGCCTCACACCCACCCAGAAGGTGATGCCTCAGCCTGACCTTCCTCCTGCATCTCCTGAGTCTCTCCTGTGTTCACTGACTCAGTCGTTCAGGTCTTTTCGACATTAAAGCGCCTCAAAGGGCCACGCTAACAAATGCCTGTTTTACTAAGCTTTGCGTTTTCCTATAGCGGCCAGAAGATGGCAGTAAATTTCTTGTGTTGTGTCACTTTTTGTTCTTCAGAGGATGTAATAGTGATGTGTGTTGCAGTGTTGGCAAAAACAGGCAGTTCATTTAATAAATTTAGAATGTTTAAAAATATTTCTCAATTTTTTTTCTTTATTGTAAATATCTGGTTTTTAGATTTAATGTAATAGATTAAACATTGTATCAAGAATATTTAATTTTTATTTTACATAAGAAGGGATTTCTTTTCTCAATGTATTGGTAGTTCCACATAAAGAGACGGCATATTCTTTTAACAAGTGGTTTACTTTAATAATAATGGTTTTAAACATTTGGACTTCAGAGAAAATATTTTTTTAAGCGCAAAGAATATCCCTTAAACATTAGGGAAAACCAGAAACTGCCCCACGTGCCCACTAGTCCATGATGTGCTAAGCTTAGCATGATTGATTACCGCTACAGCTTGACTCCTGCGTTGCAGTTAATTGATTGTGAGAAGCCAAGGCGGGCATTGACGGATCTATTGTTAATTGACTAAAAACACTGCTAGCAGACACTTTTCAAAATTTAATTATGGCATAAAACAAAATAAAATACAACCCACAGACCTACCACCAGCTGAAGAGTGACGCTGACTGTGCTGTTTGAATGAGTGTGGCAGTTCAGTTGTACGTGATCACAGGTGGCCAGCACCTGCCGTGCCCCACAAAGGCCAATCTTGTTGATGTAATTTGCTGTTTGAGGTGCCATGCTGACACTGCAGAAACACGTTCAGCAAGGCTTTGAACAGCAACTGGGCACCTGCAGCACCCCCTTGTTTAATCACATCTTATTGCTGTGCTTATCTTCATGCTGGGGTCTGAACCCTTTCCAGAGCTTAATAAATAAAGACATGAAACAGATAAAGTACCATTTTAATTAACTAGGAGAGAGCCCTTTACAGAGCCTCGAAATTCTCTTAGCAACCAGCTCCTCCCTAGCTTCTGCTGAGCATCAGTGGGTTGGATCCATCCCATATGTGATCTGTTAGTTCTTTTGAAAAGCTGATGTGCCATTGATTTTTAACACTTCTCTTTAAGGGAGTTTTCTCTCGCAGTATCTTATCATTTTAAATCCTTCACGATTCCTGCAATGTCACCAAAACATTTTTACCGAATTATGTTTCTTTTAGTGCACAGCTGATCTGTGCAGATGTTGAGTGGCAGCATGTTCTATAGGTCTGAAACACTAAACAATGAAGCTGATGTGTTGGGGGTCTGGGTCTCTGTGGGGCCGTGGAGGACAAGCCGCTGTCATTGACAAACAGATTTGTGCTCTTATTTTAGAGGACCTTGCATTTCCTCTCCGTCACAATAATGTCTTATGCGCAGCACTTCCTGTTTCTCAGGCCTGGGAGGAAGGAACAGGGCGCTTGTCACACGGTAGTCACCGCTTCCTCCCTCCCTCCCTCCCACCTGCCCCGCCACCTCCTCTTGCCCCCCCCCCATTCCCCCTCCTGCTCCAAAACTTCAGACACTGTTGTGTCCTTCAGAGAGGAAAGATGACTGCGACTTCAGTTTCACAGCAGGATGCTTCCAGTCTAAATTTAGACCCAAGTCGGAAAGGTAGCGCAGAGACATAAACACAAACTTTTGCATGTCCAGCTGTGTTGATTTAGCATCCGAAAGAAAGGAGGATCAACTGCGAACGGCCAGTTATTGTTTTGACTGAGGATTCGAAACCATTAGGGCCTAACGCTGCCTGTGCATGTACTGTAGTAATGGAAGGCAGTGACGCATGCAGGAGAACTAGCATTCATTTATTTAACCTGCTCTAACACATGTAAATGATTTACTTTATTTCTACGATTAACAAAAAATAAATAAATAAAACATTAATATTAAAATGTAAACTGGTCAGCACTGAGTTCACCTGTGGCACTGATCAAATTATCTAAATTGAGTTATCTCACAGATGGAGTTAAAGGCAAACCCTGTGTACAACCCGCTTCCAAAACCCCCCAGAAAAACGCAGTTATTTAAGACCAGTTTAAGATTTGAAGAAAACATAGTTGGATGAGACATTGTCTTTTGAGACCAGTTTCAAAATATATAAATATTGCTAACAAGATGTTACAAATAAAAACAATCTTTTGCCAATACATAAATAAATGTTCAAAAAGGTCTGTGCAAAACGTAACATAAATATGACGAGAGTTTGCTCATCAGTTGGCAAGTTAGCCAAAAACCACACCGAAAAAAATAAGGGAACAAAAATAGCTAAATAAAAGGTGGAATACATACAGCATATGAACCTTGTTAGTGATGTTGTGATTGCCATGACTTCTGACACCTCCTGACAAACAAATAATTATTACCCCCTCCCCACCCCGTTATCTCCCCATATTATTTACTGAGTGCTGTTTTGCTGTCATTCAGGAGCTCCCGTTACCAACAATGCCAGAGTCACGAGGTGTTCTGAGGAGACCAGTGCCTCCAGGCAACCCTTCCTTTTCTGCTCGAGTGTTAGGCTACAGATTAGTTCATAATTAATAGGAGTTCTTAAATTATTAAGAATGAACTGATAATTTACAGAAAACAAACCACACCCTTTAAATATTGTGTGTGTTGGTTTGCACTGCTGAGCGCACCTTTGAGAGGGTTAGGGTTAGGGTTAGGGTTAGAGATAGAGAGTAATCCCTGGCTTTGCTGACTCCTTGTATACTCAGATCAACGTCCCTTTCTTTAATAATGCTGAAGGCACGGAAAAGTCCTTGGCAGAGTTTGAACCACTGCACTGTCAATAATGGAATTGTATGCGCTTATGCCTCGACACTGTCACGTAAACAATTTTACAGCCAGTTATTCCACAAGGTTAGTCAAGTGATCGTCGGGTGGTAGAATCGGCTGGCAGAGCGTCACTGATTGATACTCAGATCAACGTCCCTTTCTTTAATAATGCTGAAGGCACGGAAAAGTCCTTGGCAGAGTTTGAACCACTGCACTGTCAATAATGGAATTGTATGCGCTTATGCCTCGACACTGTCACGTAAACAATTTTACAGCCAGTTATTCCACAAGGTTAGTCAAGTGATCCTCGGGTGGTAGAATCAGCTGGCAGAGCGTCACTGATTGGCTTGTTGAAAGAACATGATGTGTTGGGTTTATTTGACTTGTGTGGCACAAAAATACTACAGGTGCAGCATGTCACCACATAAACACGGCAGCAAAAAGCTAGGCATGTCAGCAAAATAATCTCATTTTCATTATTGATGTTACCACGTGTAATGCCTTTGTATTCATAAAGTGGGGACATTTTCTTGAGATATCAGGTTCCGTTGTGGTAGTGAACGGTATCAAACAGCCATCTGCTGTGAAGGTACTGCTGTTAAATCGTGCTCCTCTAACTCTTCCCTACTGAGTTCTCTCACATTTCAACACCCACATTTGTAGCCCTCTGAGGACGAATCTCTAATGTGAGAAAGAGCGACCACCCAGATGGCCTTTGGGGTCCAACTGAAAATGGGAACAAAACACGGCATCAATATTTCAGCCAGTCTTTCAAGTTATATACACTGCGTGACTTTGTCCACAGAGTCAGGAAACTCAACTCAGGAAGACCCCTCAGTACGCATGCATTCATTGAACCAAACACATACGCAGATGCGGATAAACAATATGTATATGCTGTGCCATGTTTACTCAGGCAGCATGAAGCATTAGAACTTTTGGCCTCTTCACAAGAAACAGCCAAGTTGGGACGTTAAGCTAAGTCCGACCAAAAAAACCTGTCTCTTCTCAGGTGTATTTTGTCAAAACCCGAGGTAGGATTATTGCTGTCGTGTTCCATTGTTTTTTTTCTCTATAATTCCTTAGATAAAGTGTTTTAATTTCACTTTCTAGTGCTGTACAACAGGGGTTTGTTGAAGGGACAGAATTTTCCTGGACAGACACCTTAGGGGGCCGGACACACAA